AAAACAATTCTAACCATTGTGAAAAAAATTGAAAACAGTTCTAACCATTGTAAAAAATTGAAAACAGTTCTAACAATTGTAAAAAATTGAAAACAATTCTAACAATTGTAAAAAAAATTGAAAAGATTTCTTAACTGGAAAACTTTTGACTGATTGAGAAAAGTTAGTTTGCACAGCTTGACAAATACACGGGAACATTTAATAAAAGACACAGTCCTGAGCCCGCGATTTAAAAAATTCGGGGAAATACGGCTCGGGTCTAAGCTGTCGTTGGACCTTATTTACGGCTTGAGCTTTCGGATTAAAGCTGCTTCTTATTTTCCACAGAGTTTAATTCAAAAAACCGGTTTAATATTCTATTTGGCGGATTTTCATGGTAAGAATTGGCGCATTCCCAGTTTTTATGAGAACAAGACGCAACATTGAGCCTTATTTTCCACTAAAACAAATCAAGGTCGGTTTTTTTTCCTTGGGCCTAACTCCTTAAGTCGAGCCGAAGATCTTGCAGCTGTCAATCACGTGACACAAGCTGTCGTTAGAGTTGGGTCTTAAAGTTGGGTTTAAGGAATTACGACTCAAGCCGAAGTTTATAAATCGCGGGCTCTGGACTTTAAACATTTTTATTGATTTATCTTTTATTCATATTATTTTCGAAAAATTATCTTTTCTGTTCACTTTGGTTGGTTTTAGTCCCATTAGGGTAAACTGTATTTAAACTTTGAAGTGTTAAGTTTTATTAAACTTTGATTATTTGTTTCTGCAAGGATCTCATTTTTTTCTCCTTGTTTGACATCGTAAATATCTTGTTGACATCGCACATACCTCGCAAATACCTCGTTGACCTCGCAAATACCTCGTTGACCTCGTAAATATCTTGTTGACCTTGTAAATATCTTGTTGACCTCGAAAATACCTTGTTGACCTCGTAAATACCTCGTAGACTTCATACATACCTCGTTGACTTGGTAAATAATCGTTTAAATACCTTCTTGACCTCTTAAATATCGCATTGACCTCGTAAATATCTCGTTGACCTTGTAAATATCTCGTTGACCTCGTAAATATCTCGTTGGTCTCGTAAATATCTTGTTGACCTCATAAATGCCTGGTTGACCTCTGAAATACCTCATCGACCTCGCAAATTCCTCGTTATAGTTTATACCGGGTTCTCCTACGACGGTGTAATCTGTCGAACCGTCAGAGGCCCAGACTGTGGGAATTAAGAAAGAATCCGACCCCCATGTAATTTTTAAATAGTAAAGATTGTTTATTTTCTATATTTTTCGGAAATAAAAGAAACGGATTTGATTCCGGATGTTGTGAACTGGAAGTTTGTAAGATGATTTGAAAAGAATGAATATTCTAATCTCAAATTTAATTCTTTTCATCGTTTTGTGAAAATATTCTCAACAAAATAGAGAACAGAGAAATGGAAATAGACAATTTAAACAATGGTATCAGAATCAAATCTTTTATGTTTAGGCGTTCTTTAGACTCTTTTATTTAGTTTTCAACGTGTCAGATTGTCAGTTTATCAGTTTGTCAGTTTGTCAGTTTATCAGTTTGTCAGTTTATCAGTTTGTCAGTTTATCAGTTTGTCAGTTTATCAGTTTGTCAGTTTGTCAGTTTGCAAGTTTATCAGTTTGTCAGTTTGTCAGTTTATCAGTTTGTCAGTTTGTCAGTTTGTCAGTTTGTCAGTTTGTCAGTTTATCAGTTTGTCATTTTGTCAGTTTGTCAGTTTGTCAGTTTGTCAGTTTGTCAGTTTGTCAGTTTTTCAGTTTGTCAGTTTGTCAGTTTTTCAGTTTGTCAGTTTGTCAGTTTGTTAGTTTTTCAGTTTTTCAGTTTATCAGTTTGTCAGTTTTTCAGTTTGTCAGTTTATCAGTTTGTCAGTTTATCAGTTTGTCAGTTTGTCAGTTTGCTAAAAAAAATTTTTAGTTTTAAAGTTTATCAGTTTTTTTATTTCGTTTGTCAATGTGTCAACAATTTGTCAGTTTTGCGATTTGCCAGTTTGCCGTTTAATAGTTTGCGAGTTAGCCAACTTGCTAGTTTGTCAATTTGTCATTTTGTAACGTTAGTTTGCTGGATTTTCTGTCAATCCGTTTGTCAGTTTGTCGAGTTGTCAATTTGTCAGTTTTTTACTAGTCCAGATCGTTATTTTTGAACTTTAAAAATTAAAAAAATGTTTGCATTTCACATTTTTAAAAAGAAAATTTCCACAAACTAAGATTTTGTTATTTCTATATATATATATATCTTAAGATTAAACTTAAAGTTTTGTTAGGTCAAATAGTACAAGTGACTTATAGATTACTAGGCTTTTAGGGCGCTTCCCGCCCATCTTCTATTGAAATTCTGAACTTATGTTCTTTTTGTGTAAATTGTAAAACAAAAACAAACAAAAATTTCGCAGATTTTATAAAAAAAAATTTGGACTTTAAAAATTTTTAATTATCGAATTTTGTTAGAGGCACATTTTTGAAAATTCGATCATCCATAAACCTTCCATGGGGTCACGCGAGGTCCCACCAAAAAATTGGGCCCGATTGGTTTAGCCGATAAAAAGTATAAAAGAGAAATGGCGAAAAATTTACGTTTAATTGGTCAAATTGGGATCGAAAGTCGAAGTTCTCTGGAATAAAAACCAAACCGTTAAATCCGCGTGGTTCAGTTCTTACATTTCCTTCGTTGTCTCTGCGCTATAAATACATGTATAAATAATTAATTTGTCGGTATAGACAAAAATAAATATCTTATCGGATAATGGTTTAAAGGGAATCGTTGTGAATCGGATATATCCCTCTTTTTATGGAAAGACACATTAAAATCCGTGTACTGTCCCTTAAACCTGAAATAATCTTGATAAAAAAAGAGATTTGAGACAAAACGGAAACTGAATTATTTGCTTTTGAAATCTTTGAAGATTTGCAGGAAAATTATTTTCATATAGGCATTTAATTCTCGCACACATTTCATTATTATTTATGTACGGTTTTGTAACTTACAGTTACTGCAGGTCAAACGAGCTAGAAGAAATAATTTAGAAAAATGGATAATCTTAATTTTTAGGAATATATAAAAATTGAACTTTTAATGATTTTAGTAATGTTTTTCAAAAACATTTTTAAACTAGGGTTTCCAGCGAAAAGGAAAAATCGTTTTGAGAAAATTTAGCATTTTTAGCGAAAACAAATTAGTTTGCAACCATTTTGCTTCATTTTCGCATTTCGTTCGCTCGCGAAAAATGCGAAATTTTTTCGCAAAATTTCGCTTCAATCTGTTCCGCGAAATTTTAGCGAAAACAATGGAAAAATTTCGCGAAAAAATAACGCAAAAATTTCGTGGAAAAATGCGAAAAAATGGAAATTATGCAAAAAAAACACGAAAATTTCGCGAAAAATACAGAAATTTTAAAAACTAATGCAAAAAAAACATTTATTAAAGTAAAGGAAGGAAAATTATTTATATGACATAATGAAACTTCAAATATTGAGATATCAGAGCAGTTCCACAAGTTCTTTTGAGCAATAATTATTGCAGCTGTAAAACTCATGATTTTCACAAAATTTTCGTGTAAATGATTTCGCATTTTCACGTTTTCGCATCTTTTGTTTTAGCGAAAAATGCGAGATTTCCAGAAAAAGTTTGCGAAATGAGACCGAAAATTTTTTCCCATTCTTTCGTGAAACGTTTCGTTCGCTGGAAACCCTACTTTAAACGGACTTGACCTCCCATTTTACGCTTCAATCTTAAAAACGCAACGTTTTCCTTAATGGAGTCTAGACATATTTCACAATCATATCACATACTAAATTTTCATTTGATATCCTCAAATGAAAGCATTTAGTGTGAATATAAATGTATGTTTATGGGCTTCCTTTGAAGATGAATGAAAATCCGCAAATATATTATTAATTCACTATAATATTTCTAAATCCACGGGAAAATTTAGGAATTCAGAGAAATATTGGAGAAAATGCGTAAATATTCAAATATTTCTGTATTTCAGTTTTTAAACTTAACATTTTATTCGAAAAGAACTACACTAATCATAATGTTTCACGTCTCACAATGTTCATTATATTTATGATTAGTATGTATGTATTTCTATATATTTTGAATACTTAAGTACACTTGTTTTTTCTTCTTCTTCTTCACCATAGCTTATAACAGCTTGCCTTCCGGAACTATTGAGGAATCCGCGAGATATTAATGAATATGCGCCTTCCGGAANATCCGCAAGATATCAAAGAATATGCGGAAATATTGAGGAATCCGTATATTGGGAAAAAAATGAATATTTTCCGAGAAATTAAAGAATATCCGGATATATTGAAGAATCCGCGAGAATATTGGCAAACTTGTTTACGGGAGTCTAGTGGACTATATCCTGGTTGAGAATGTTGTCGGAGAATAAACCATCCAACCACATTTATCCAGCCTCGGAATCCTTCAGTAGTTCAACGCTTTCCAGCAGAGATACATGTACGTTGTATTCTTGGTTGTAGGTACATAACACATGAGATCATATACTCTCCTCTCCGTATACTGCAGGGTTTCCCACGAATTATGACAGTTTATAAACCATATTTTAACTTTGAAATTATTTGCGGCATTTGATTGCCAACCTAATTTTACAAGTCAAAGTTTTGAAACAATAGTCATAAAATTCACCTAGTCCTGGCATTTCTAAAAAGAAGTCCGTCAGTTGATGCTAAAAGTCCAAAATAGGCAGACCACATCTTGAAAACGACAGGACTAGGGGAATTTTGTTATTATTGTTTCAAATGTATAATTAGGTTGAAAAATGAATGCAGCAATATCAAATGTGCATTAAATATATACTTAGGTTTGAAAAGCACATTAATGTTAAAAAAATTTTTAGACGTCCTACAACAATGTAATTTTGCAGATTTTCCCTAATAAGAGAAAAAAGGTTCAACTTGCATTTCTTCTGAATGATTATTTAAATATATTTTGCGAAATAAGTTATAGGAAAAATATTGTATAATATTTAAACATTTAAAACACTGGCAACGTTAATAAAAATACAGTTTTCCTCAAACATGTTCGGCGCGATTCGCGCACAGATCTAATTCTGTCCTGTCATGGAAACCAGGATAAGATGCCGAAATTTGACTAATATTATTACTGTGGCAGGTTTCAGAGCTGCAAAAACTTTAAATGCCAGCATGTGTCAATAGTTAGAACCAGGTTTAACCTGTTTTTGCCAAGCTCAAACTTTTCTTCCTCTACAATATACTATAGTTAAAGATTTCAAACATTGTGAGCAAAATAACAGGTATCTAATTATTTTTAAATTGTTATTAAATTTTGATTTTGTTTATAGAAAGTACTGTAACGCAAAATTCTTTTATAGAGTAGCATGTCTGATTTACATATGGTATCATTACACCTTAGCTTGATCATGGTTAAGTTATAATTGTTTTCCTATAAAAACTAGTTATTTTAAATAAATTTTTCTCTGTAAAAGTGACTTTCGGATTCATACAGCAGAGACAATTAAGGGAATAGTCAGAATTTATCACTTTTCGAGCGAAAAAATTAGAATATCCTCCGCAATGTTACACTTATAAGCTGGGTACTGTTATGAATCAGACATGCCAAATTGCATGTAATAACTACAAGATTCTGTGCATGTTATTTGCGTATCTTTGCGTTCAAATATCATCAAGAATTTAATATAATTATCTCTTTTTGATTTTCTGAGGGGTTCCTTTCGTATTTTCCCTAGAACTAACTATCTTTCTATCAATGATTTATTTGCTAGCCTCGATAACTATCTATCTATCTATGATAATGATGATAATTAGCTTCTATCTATTAACCTATCCTGCATCTATCTCATTATTATTGTGTGTAATTATATTAGCTAATTCTTAATATAACTATACAGGGTGCGTCTTAAAAAGGAATTTAATAAACTTACTTCCAGCGTGCTTAACGTGCCTATATCTTCTTAAAAAAGTTTCTTTTAATTGTTTTTTTTTTTCAATTGAAACCAATTTTTTTTACGCCACAAGTAGCGATGGGCAATAGCTAGATTCATTTTACAGAAACGTTAATTTTTTTTAGACTTTTAAAAGGTTTTATGATAATTTGAGAAGGGCACAATGAATAAAAATTGTATTCTGTAGAAATAAGCTTTTATAAAATATATAAATTAGTTAGCCTAGGTGAAAATGTAAAGCAAAAACAAACTAAAACCTATTGTTTTAAAACGATTGTTATTTCCTAATGTTTTTTCTATGGTAACAAATGAGCATGTTTGATAAAAGCAAACTTTTCCAAAACAAAGTTTTAAAACGTTGGAACCTTCTCATATTGTCGTAAAAAACCTTTTAAAAGTCTAAAACATCAAAAGCGTCTGTAAAACGAATCTGGCTATTGCCCATCCCTAGATACAAGTTCACAGATTTTTCTGTTTGCATTTGGATTTACCACAAGATTTTTAGAATACTTTTGTAAACAAAAATTCTTCTGAGATTTGAACTCAAACATTTTTTGGACATCTTGCACATCCAGCTGTGCATTGTGTTGTATATATATGTACAGAAGTAAAATGGGAAAGTAGGTCCCTTGTCTATTCCTGTAATAAATTCTATTACAGAGACCCCTCATGGCTTCTCTAATACTAGATACAGACTTTTCATTTTCTTGTTTTTTCAACCACGTTCAAAAGCAGTTTTATTTATACTTTAAAGAAAATCTGAGAAATGATTCATGAATCGACCCTAACAAAAATACTTATGATCAAAAATATGAAATTTAGTTTAGCTTGTAAGTAAAAGGTTGGTCTGGTTGGTTCACCGTGAATGAATAGTTCTGGTTCTACTTCACCGTGAATGGATAGTTCTGGTTCACCGTGAATGAATAGTTCTGGTTCTAGTTCACCGTGAATGGATAGCTCTGGTTCTAATTACCGTAAATGGTATAGTTCTGGTTCTAATTCACCGTGAATAGATAGTTCTGGTTCTAGTTCTCCGTGAATAGATACTTCTGGTTCTAGTTCTCCGTGAATAGATAGTTCTGGTTCTAGTTCTCCGTGAATAGATAGTTCTGGTTCTAATTCACCGTGAATAGATAGTTCTGGTTCTAGTTTACCGTGAATCGATATTTCTGGTTCTAGTTTACCGTGAATAGATAGTTCTGGTTCTAGTTCACCGTGAATAGATAGTGCTGGTTCTAGTTTACCGTGAATAGATAGTTCTGGTTCTAGTTCACCGTGAATAGATAGTACTGGTTCTAGTTTACCGTGCATAGATAGTTCTGGTTCTAGTTCACTGTGAATGGATAGTTCTGGTTCTAGTCACCGTGAATAGATAGTTCTGGTTCCAGTTCACCGTGAATAGATAGTTCTGGTTCCAGTTCACCGTGAATAGATAGTTCTGGTTCCAGTTCACCGTGAATAGATAGTTCTGGTTCTAGTTCACCGTCTTACATTGTCTTCTTCCGGTATTTATCCTCCTTTACCTAAAAGAATGTCCATTTGATCTTTTCAATACTCATTTCCTCCACTTTAACCCCAACCCTTTTCTCCACTTTATACCCCCCCACACTTCCTTTACTCCCCCCCCACTTCCCCCCTCCCACAAACTCAACTTATCCCAATCCTTTTTTAAATATTTCCCTTTATCAACCTTAACTCTTTACCACAATCCTTTGCCTACCCAAACCACACTTTGCAATCCATTCTTCCCTTACCACACTTCTTTACCATCTATTTTACCCAAACCACACTTTTTAGCATCTATTTTACCATAACCACACTTCTTTACAATCCATTCTTCCATTACTACACTTCTTTATCATCAATTTTACCCAAACCACAATTCTCAACCATCTATTTTAACATAACCACACTTATTTACCATCTAGTCTACCCTTACCACTCTTCCCAACCGTATTTTCTACCCTTACCACACTTCTCAATCATTTTTCTAACCTTACCACATTTTCTACCATCTTTTTTATAAGACAAAAGCTGTTATTTTTGAAAAATTGAAAAAATTATTTTTCTCTACTATTAAATGTTCTTTTTTTATGTAAACATTTCACGTACATTTGCATTCTTAATCTATCCTGTGAAAAATTCGCATTTTTTGCGTACAATAATAATTTTTAATAAAATTTTGAAAACTTTCTGCGTATTATTTTATATTTAATTTCCCAACAAAATCAATTCTGCGTACATTCTGCAAACGTTTGGCATTCTTTCAATTGGTGATTGTGATTATCATACTTTATTTATTTTTTTTTTTTGGCTAAAATATTTCATTTTTCCATTTTCCTCCGTAAGGATTATTTTGTGTGCCGTGAAGCGTAAGATTACAACTGAAGCTTTAAAAAGAAATTTTAGCATTTATTTCCAGTATTTTCTTCGAGTGCAAAACATTAACTGTTTGCAAATACTAAAACTATTCGCAAAATGTTATTTTAGAAATTTAAAGTTTAATTTTACTCCAAGATTTTATTACCTAGATGAAGAGTAAGCTGGCGGGTTGAATATGGTACAGATTGTTGACCTAAGAAAAATACCGCTTGAAAAGTAAACAGGTATATTCCTTCTTATAAAAGGTGCAAAGGGATGTTTGATATCTCTAAAAAATGTGAATCGGCATTATTCTCATTTCCGGTTAGTACTATTCTATAATTTTCCATAATGTTTATGCAATTAGTAACTCCGCCTTCTGGGAAAATGCAGGAAATGCGATTGACGAAAATTTAAAATGGATTAAGTTGAATATCTTTATTTGATCCTTAGTATGACAGTTAAGGGGGAAAAAAAAAAAAAATTCGTGTTTCACCTCATTTGTACTGAATTCCAACTTGAAAACTTTTTTTAAAGACTTAAAAATATTATTAGTTAGATTACAAAAACCTACCAAAAACTGAATAAAGACGAAAACATTTTTTTTTTGATTATTATTTAGTCTAGATTTTTTGATAGTTTTAAAATTTGAATCAGCATAAAATTTCCATGAAATTTTCAAAACATAATTTTTGTCATTGCAGTCATTTTTTAATTTAGATTTTTGGCCTATCAGAAAAAGTTTTTTTTAACTCAAAAGACTTAAATTTAGTATAATGCCTAATAAATATGATTACTATGGACATCTGATGGTCAGTTAGATGATTTTCAGAGAAGTCGAAAATCGATCACCCCTAATCCACAGTATATAAATAATATTGTTGTTACAGAATGCAGTTCTTATGTTTCCCGTATGGAACTAATATACAATGTTGGTGTGATAATACCGGCACTATCAAGGAATATATATCTCTCATAGCTGGTTTAATATTCAGGGAGGACCCATATTAGAAAAATTTGTTAAAAACTTTAAAGATTTCAAACTGTATTATGTTGAAGTTTGCTTTTGGTGAACTGAGCAATATCTTTAACCCCCCAGAAAAAATAGAGTGCAAAAACGATCCGAAAACGATTATCACGGTCATTCGTTTTTGCATCGTTTCTGCATAGTTTCTGCATATAAGTTTTAACTTCTTGACAAAAATAAATATAAGAAAAATAAATATTGAGAATAAACAACAATAATAAATAAACAATTGAACCTGAAATAAAATATATACAAAAAATAAACAACCTCCCGCGAGACCAAATTATTAAATAGATATTTTAATGACTATCTTAAATGTACAAATAAATTTATAAATTTAAAAATGAAACTGAGAATGAAATTGTTTGATTTTGAAACATGAATCTAGGAATTTAGAAATTAAAACATCTTCAAATAATATTTTAAGAGCAAACCTAAACTGAGGCGGAATTTAAAGAATTTATACCGCGTCGCTGAACCGCAAAAAATCGGTTCCAATTGAGCGCTGGCTCAAATCTCAAACCACTAAATACAATTTTAAGAGGAACCAACCACGTTTGAGCCGCGTCTCAAATTTGAGACGTGGCTCAAATTCTTTAAATTTTGCCTCTATGTCAGAACAATTCTGAACTACTATGTGCTAGGGAATAAGTAAGAAAATTTCAAATATATATTTTGAATGGTTGAGAGAGGTATATATCTAGAGATGTGTTCCTGTACTCTTAAATCTAGGAATTATACAGTATCAGGTCAGTGTAGTACAGAGAAATTTGAACCACCCCCCCCCCCCCCCGCCTCCATACCTCCCTAACTTTATAAAGCCCCCCTCCCCCCATCTCCTCGAATTTGCTATTTCTTCTAAAGACCACCATTCGACACAAATAGCTGCCATTAAGCTTAAACATAAAGATAATATTGTATTTGAAAGAAATTTCTTTTACTTTCTAATTCGCCTGCAGTTTGGAACCATTGCCAATTGGGATTTGAAAATGAAGACTCTTCGACTTAAGCTATGATTTTAAATAGACTAATAGACTTGTAACACAGCAAAAGATTTAATTATAAACTACTGGCAAACCTATTCACATCAAAAGCACATTAAACTGTTTAAATGTCGTCTTCCTTTTCTACAGAAGAATCAAAAAGAGTGTAGAAACATTTCGGTAAGGAATTAAGTCTTCGCTACAACTCAAATTTTTGAATCCCTATATCTTTGTAATCTGATGGTGTAAACCTTTTATATTTCAAACTAAGATTTTTTTAATCTAACAGAAATCATAGTTTGAAATATCTAAGGTCTTTGACAATGGGTTGCAATGATATAGATATTAGAAAATCACAGTTTGTGGCAAAAACTCAATCCCAAACTTTGTTACATTAAACGTTTCTTTTGAGAAAAATTTAACGAATGTTAAAAGTTATAATTTTTAATCATCTTCATGAAGACTTAATTTAAATTACTGTTCAATTGCAATGTTTGATTAATGGCTTTATTTGGTTTATACATATTAATTTTATTTCTTTTTTTTAGGAAGAAAATGAACAATCAGCGAGCCTAAGGAAAAAAATAAAACTTATTTGCAGTTGTCTCAAAAATTTCTGTTCGAATGTTTAGATTAACCATGTTTAGATTATTCAACGATTTATAAATAAGATGTTATTTCTTGTAAATGTTAAGCACAAGTTTAAATTGATTAAGGTATAGTACAGTACAGTTAGGGATGTTAACGTTTTCATTCTTTTGAAAAACGATCGTTTCGCTATGAAAGCGACGACGAAAAATTGTAGACGAAACGACCGTTTTTAAAAACGATCGTTTTCTTAAAAGTTCGTTTTTTAAAAATGGTCGTTTTTAAAACGATCGTTTCGTTAACGATCGGTAATGCAAACCCTTCGTTAACGATCGTTAGCGACGACCCTTCGTTAACGATCGTTAACGAAGAGAGGAAACCAACCTGCAGGGCATCTGTTCTAATCATTGAGTAGTTTTTAAGAAAATATCAAGAAGTTTTAGCTCCCCCGCAACTGTTAAACTTTATGTAAGACGACATTCAGTAAATTTGCATGTAATTTTTTTTTTCAAAACTATAGCTTTTCCAAAAACTACCGTTTTTTTAAAGTTCGTCGTTTCGTTAACGATCGTTAACATAATTGTCCATAGTTTTTTTTCAAAAACGATCGTTTTTTTTTTTAAATGATCGTTTTTTTAAAGCAATCGTATAAAAAACGGTCGCAAATCGTTTATATAAAAACGATCGTTTTCAAAAACGATCGTTTTCAAAAACGATCGTTATTCGTTTTCTAAAAGTTCAAAACGAGTGGGTCGTTTTTATAAACGATCGTTTTTTTCCGAAAACGAAACGATCGTTTTTGAAAACGATTGAAAAAGAAACAAAAAACGATCAGTAATCATTAATCAAGAACAAATAGAGATATATGATCTTCTTTTTTAAAAATTGATTATTTTCAATTGTGGTATATATCTATACAATTCTAAACTTCTAAAATTCTAATTATAAACGTTTTAAATGTCTCAAATGAATCCTTAAAAGATTTTCTACGATACTGCATTCTCAGATCAAGCACCATACATTGCCGGTCACTCCCTTGAAGAAAACTTTTTATTTTTTTTTAACAGAGAGGATTTGAGTTTTTTCATGAAAGGAGAAAAAACTGAACTTTTCCTTGCACTTCTCTTCCTAGTTCTCGTCTTTCTAATATTTATCATGTAAGTAAATCAAATAATATTTATCATGTAAGTAAATCAAATAATATTTATCATGTAAGTAAATCAAAAACTATTTACAAAGAAGATCTCAAAATCCTCACTAAATTCCCGTGTTGTGGGACATCTATTGGCGAATTTTACAGGGGTGAGGATAAATCAATCATACAGTCATAGTCGTATCAATAGATACAATGAAGACGACTTTCGTTTTCAATTTATGATTTCTACCCAGTTTTCAAACAGCATTCTTGTAAACTTGTAATTTGAAATAAGGTTGCTAGAAATCAAAACTTAAATAGGAAAGTCGTCTTCATTGTATTGATATAAACCCTGACCATTATATCATTATATCCCCCCCCCATGGCAATTTGAGGTTATCACTCGGGGTTCAACTATTTCAACCAGTTTCTTTAATTCAATTTTCATGAATGGGTTTTTGAATATACGATAAGTTTCTGTCATGACCAAATGGAAAGGTTGCAGCACGTTGTTACCACCCCATTCAAAATCCCCCATTTTATTAGCTTATTTGTGTTTCTGTATCCACCATCCTTAACACCCTGTAGTATTTTCAGTTATCTCTACATTAAAATCCCTCTGATCTTACCCTGCCACAGATCACCTGACAATCTTCTTCCTTCATTATAACCAATTATATTCAGTATCGTTAATTAACTTCGGGCCAAAAAACTCAAAACAACCAACCCTGGTTAGGCGGGTCCAAACTGCGTAGTAAATTGTGATACCAGATTTGTAATATCTCATGCTTTGTAGTTGAATAAAAATATGAATGAATGCCATTACTTTTTAAAAAGTTTCATGGAGGGTAAATGTNAAAATTTGCAGCATCATATATATTACATATCTGTCTTAAGATATTTGTGTTAAATGTGCTAATCCCAATTTGATCAACATTTGCTATTCCTGGTTAAAGAAGATTGGTTCCCAGATGTTTAAGCATATCTTTACAACATCCCCCCCCCTTCCTTCTAACTCACTATGATAGCAAACAAAACGCCCAGAGGGACTAAGTTAAGCTAACTCAATCTTGAAGTAAGTAGAAACAAATTGTTCATACTTTTGTCAACTTTTGCATAGTTTAGGCACCGTTTTTTCCCTTTGTGCATAAAAATTGAGAATATTTTAGGGATTATTTTAATATATTCCATTCTATGTTGTTTCGGGCTTATCTTATTTCTTTAAGAGAGGGATATCTAATTTTTATGGAGAGAAAGAGACTAAGATAAAATTTAAAAGAAATATAAAGAGGGAGNTATTATTTTTTGTTAAAATTGAAGGAAGGATAAATATTGAAAATCTCGAAGTATAGAAGTGTCTAGTGTAGACTAGTGGTTAGAAACCACTTTCATCTTCTCATTTAGAAATTATCCCTGCACCATTCAGGGGTATATATTATTTACTTTTGATTTAAAATTTTACAAAGTGAAAAAAAAAATTTTGAGACAATTTTTAAAATTAACCTTTATAATGTTTTTTTTTTCACGTGAACTTCTTTAGCTTTCAATATTTTTAATTTTCGTTAAGAATTTGAATTTAGAATTTCAGGGAATTTATTTAATCCGATCATGGAGTATTTTGAAAACCAAAATTTAAGCAGTTACAAAACGGTTTGTTACCTTAAAAAAGTTTGGATTTGGTAACCTGTAAACTCATGTGTTTGATACCCTTAATCCCGTTCGCTTAGTTCCGATATCCACTTTGGGCAATTTTTTGCTTAATCTTGGATATCCCTAGTGTGTTCCAACCACTTTGATCTAAAATGTGAGAGATAGCCTGGTTTTGTCTTACTCTCGAAAAATGTTTAATTCTGTTTAGATCTCCATTGTTTCCTACTAGCAGGAAATGTGCATTCCAATTTTGCCATCACAAATAAGAATAAATAGTTAAAAAAAACATGGACTTATATTTACACTTGATTAGACAAAGCTTGGAAGGGTACTGTTGTAAATATGGAATCTTTGCATGCAGATCGAGGGTCCCTTGAAATTTCCTTTGTATGGTATTAGATACCAAGTGATCAATAAATCCAGCTAAAGAGGAGACTAAAAACAAAATAAAATAACAACTGTTTATATTTTGATGCAGACCTAATATCATAAAATAATTTTATCTTTTATTAAAAGCATGGGTTGATTTAGTATCCACCAAACCATAGCTCAGAAACTTATATATATTTGATGTAATAAACCCAAATATATCTTATATCTGACTTTGCTTCCCATGAAGGCAGTCTAAACCGCAAGAGAGAAGCCGGCGTGTTTACATATTAAATCAATCCTTTCTGTTAAAGTGACAGTTCACTTAATTCAACAATTCCCTAAAGTTCAAGTTTAGAAATTAGAAATCCAAGATGTTACTTAATAATTAAAATATAATTATGTTTACTAGATTTGCTTCTCACAAGTGCAGCAGAATGTTTGCATCAAGAACTTCTGAGGTAAATTAAACTTTGGTTAAAAATATCAAACGATTAGATGGAGTTGAATATTTTAAGCTTTAAACTTTTGAATAAACAAACTGACTTAAATTTATGCATTACTCGTGGGACAAATATATAAAAACCAAGCCGGGAACTTTAGAATTGGATATCCTTAACCCGATCGCTTAATCTGAATGTAAAATGTGGAAATTTTTTTTTCCTGCTTAATCCGCTATTTTCTGTCGTTTTGAATATCCCTTTACTGGATATCCCTTTACAGGATATCCCTTTACAGGATATCCCTTTACAGGATATCTTTTTACAGGATATCCCTTTACAGGATATCCCTTTACAGGATATCCTTTTACAGGATATCCCTTTACAGGATATCTCTTTACAGGATATCCCTTTACAGGATATTTCTTTACAGGATATCCCTTTACAGGATATCTCTTTACAGGATATCCCTTTACAGGATATCCCTTTACAGAATATCCCTTTACGAGATATCCATTTAGAGGATATTCCAATACAGGATATCCCTGTACAGATTTTGTCCGACGAGGGTTCATTTATTAAGTGGCGCGGAAAATTTCATGTTTCCCTGCTTCTGATTGACTGTTCGGAATTCTGCACTTGCCACTCCATTGGTTGAATACAAACTAAAGATTATATTAATCATGGTTGGGATTTGTTTTGTCCATAAATATAAAGTTTTACGAAGTAAATTCAGAAACTGATATTCAGAAACTTAAAATTTTTTTTAGAAATCATTAATAACGATCTCCTACGCAATGGTTCGCTTTGTTACACCTTAAACATAATGCAAAATATCATCAGTTTTATGCAAAATATCATCAGTTTTATGCAAAATATTATCAGTTTTATGCAAAATATCATCAGTTTTATGCAAAATATCATCAGTTTTATGCAAAATATCATCAGTTTTATGCAAAATGAATTAATGTGTGCGTTTCAAGTGTAGGACATTTTTATAATTTCAGACAAAAAATGGCAACGGACCGTTGTGAATCGTTGCTGACATATGCATTTTTGTCTCATGACAGTTCCATTTTCTTTTTTTTAGGTTGACCGGCGGAAATACTTTAAAGCAACTCACTGTCAAACAGACAGCTGTGACCCCCTGACAGATGGCTGTTATACCTTACAGGAGACAGCTAGTGAACAGCTAGATACCTTTAGCGCTCATTCACAGGCAGTACTAAAACTGCAAGGGGTTCATAGTGTACAAGGAGTTCATGGTGTACATGATACATACAATCTATATCCGTCACTACTCAGGGTCAGATTTATTTAATTTTCATTTTTATAATTTTGATCTCATTTCGTACATTTTTCTGAAAAGAATATAACATTTTTATAAATCATAAGTTTTCCCTGACAGAAAATTTTTTTGAAAATTAAAAATAACTTTAAAGTAAATAATATTGAATTTAAGATTTTTTCTATGTCTTTTCTTTTACTTTAATCATAATTACTTCCTAAAAAAACCTTGAATAACTTTTTTGCAATTATCGTTTCAGCGATCATGATTTGAAAGATTAAAAGATTTATTTTGTTGTAGAATGGGCATAGTGCTATGGAGACAATCAGAATTCCATTAGAGGTAAGATGATATTTTTTATTAAATGTATCTCTCGGTGTTTTTATGCTATGCTCCATTTTATTTTAAAAGTTACAGGGCGTCCCAATAAACGTGAGAATTGAATGACGAATACAATACCGTCTTTGTTTAGAATTAGCATTGTGTTACCTAATTTCAATGGACATATAAAACTTATGTAATCTGCAAAAGGCTGTTTTCATTCTGCAGAACGATGTATTTAATGTGTCATATTCAATTCTGCAGATATTCAATGAAAAAGAACAACTAAACTTTTTTATTTACAGAAATTACAGGTAAAACAGTTTGCAATTAAGACAACAAACTGAAATAAAGGAATTGAGTCTTTGCCACAACTGCAACCCAATGGCATAGACCTAAGAAATTTCAAACTATGAATTCTGTTAAATCAAATGATCTAAGTTTGAAATATCAAAGGTTTACATCATCAGTTTGCAAGGATAGATGAATAAGATGATTTTAATTTGTGGCAAAGATTTAATTCCTTTAAAACTCTAGCAGACGAAAAATCTAGGAATTACAGATTTCCTGATAGGCATCAACATACTAAATTAACAAATCATTCCCAAAGACAAAATCAAAATCGTACTCAATTTCCACGTTTATTTGGACACTCTGCCCATGACCTACAGGTCTTATCAATACAATGAAGACGACTTTTTTTATTTAAGTTTTGATTGTTAACAAGCTTTTCGAATTTAAAGTTTAAAAGTAATCAAAAAGAAGCTTTTTTAATAGACAGCTTATCTTGACTTCTTTGTATTCATGCTGTTTAAAGGACTAACAACTTGATATAAATGAAAATCCAAATCTTATGTCGTCTTCATTGTATTGGCAAAATCCCTGCCACTGTATTTACTGAAGTACCCTTTAATATACTTACCTGAGTAGTGAGTAACAATGAGACAAATAAAGTCGTTTTTTAATCTTTAAAGGGAGTGACCGGTTATGTAAGGTAGTTGAACTGAGTATGCAGTGTTGTGGAAAGCTTCTTTCGGATTCATTTGATACATATTAAACTTTTTAAAGATCTGAAAATATTGAGTTTAAGCGCAAATTCGACGTTCAAAACTCCTACTTTGCGGGTGGATACGTTTCAGAATTAGTTTTTTTTTCAATTATTAAATAACGACGACAAAGTAACTGTCAGAGCATGAACAAATATTATGGGGAAATAGAAATTTGAAATATATTTTAGGAAAGTGAACTAATGAACACCTGCTCATCTTTGTGTACAGAAACCAAGGAACAAAATGAAATCAAAATAAAGAAACATTTATTATTTCCTTCTTCACAGATGGGACTCTTTCAAATGTCAAAAATTTAATTTTTCATATTTGTGAACAGGAGGGAGAACAGGGGTTTAGAAGCTTAGATCTAGGTTTATATTATGTTAAATAAATTAATTTTAATTTTCAAAATTTTCCAATTTCAGAACAATTTGGATTAAGGACATTTAATTTGTGCTAATAGCATTAAGCTGTTTTCGGCCAAATTTTTTATTATTTTTTTTTAATATTTGTATTTTTCTGCTTTTTCTTCGACGGGAACACATTATTAAACAAATTTTATATTAACTGTCCTACACATTTAAAACAGTGCCAGGTTAAAAAAAGAAAAAAAAACTATTTTGTGATTGTGAATCATTTATGGGTTTTTAAAGGACGGTTAATATCATATCGCCTGACAGAAACAATTATGAAGGGAGAGACTGGCTATTTTATAAATTACATTTTTTATTCTTTGTAAAATTGTTTGCATATTTGTTTAAATTTTTCAAATGTGCCCAGGAAATCTACGAAAATCTTTTGTGACCATTAAAACATTACAGAAACCGTTATGGTAAAGATAAAGATTACGTATTTTCGATGCAAAAATTTATTTTTAATTTCTCTGCCGTTCCTGAACAACAAATGAATTGACAATAGAAGTTTGTTCCATTTTTGTCCGGGTTATTAATTATTATTATATTAAATAATTGTAAAAAGCGTTTCTTCTGCGGATCTTTCCTTCTGGTGAAATTTTATAAAACTGTTTCTTATAAATTATACACCGTAAAAAAAGTCTAATAGTAATCAAGTGAATCCTACAATTTGTTTCTATTATAAATACTACTGCACTCTCGGTTAGAATATTTTATCTAGCCGGTCTCCCCCTTTAAGTTACAGTATTTCTACTAAACAATGACCTGAGGCTTGAATTAAAGAACAGCAAGAATTATTATGGCAGAAGTTTAATCATTTTTTCCTTGTTCTCACTCTTTTCACTTTTCATTAGTTCAGACCTTTGCTGCTTAAAATATGTCAAAATTAACTTTGATTTGATTAAATATAAAAGCTGTTGAAAGTATTTAAAATCTAATATAAAAAGAGGATGAGGACTGGATCAACAACGAGGACAAGGGAATATATTCTATAAACTCACAACAACATATGAAATCAACATAGAGGATGAAATCAACATAGAGGATGAAATCAACATAGAGGATGAAATCAACATAGAGTTTGAAATCAAACTAGAATATCAACGTGAGATGCAAAATCAACAAAAACTTATATATTCAACATGGAGTTTAAAATCAAGATAGAATGAAATCGAAATGGAGTATATAATCATAATAGAAAACATGATTAACGTCATGTTTAAAATAAAAAAAGTATACAAGTAAACACGGAGTATAGATCAACATGGAGTTTCGATCAACATGGAGTTTTGATCAACATGGAGTATCGATCAATATGGTGTAATAATCAATGTGAAATATCGATCAACATGGATTATAGATCAACATGGAGTAACAAGGGAATATATTCTATAAACTCACAACAACATATGAAATCAACATAGAGGATGAAATCAACATAGAGGATAAAATCAACATAGAGTATGAAATCGACTTGGAATGTGAAATCAACATAGAGTATGAAATCATCATAGAGTTTGAAATCAAACTAGAATATCAACGTGAGATGCAAAATCAACAAAAATTTATAAATTCAACATGGAGTTTAAAATCAAGATAGAATGAAATCGAAATGGAGTATATAATCATAATAGAAAACATGATTAACTTCATGTTTAAAATAAAAAAGTATACAAGTAAACACGGAGTATAGATCAACATGGAGTTTCGATCAACATGGAGTTTTGATCAACATGGATTATAGATCAACATGGAGTTTGGATCAACAACAAGTATTAATCAACATGAAGTATGGGTCAACATGGAGTATATATCAACATGAAATATGGATCAACATGGAGTATGGATCAACATGGAGAATGGATCAACATGGAGTATGGATCAACATGGAGTATATATCAATATGGAGTATGGATCAACAAGAAGTATGGATCAACATGGAGTATAGATCAACATGAAGTAAGGATCAACATGGAGTGTAGATCAACATGGAGTCTCAATCAACATGGAGTATGGATCAACATGAAGTAAAGATCAACTTTTGAGTATAGATTAACATGGAATATGAATCAGTATGGATCAAAATGGAGTATGGATCAACATGAAGTATGGATAAAATGAAGTATGGATAAACATGGAGTAAGGATCAACATAGAATATCGATCAACATGCGGTATGGATCAACCTGGAGTATGGATCAATATGGAGTGTACATCAGTATGGAGTATGGATCAACATGTATTTATATCACAGTCTTAATGTTGATTAAGGCATAACATCAGTTCTGAGGAAATATTTTGATCTGCAGTACACTTTAGACAATATTCTTATATATTGCATTGTACTGCTTAATTACAGGAAATTCAACTAAATTAAAGTTGAATTTCAGTTGGAAATAAACTTCGTAACATGCGTCAACTATCNGAGAAGAAAATAAGGAAGAAAAAGGGAAAAAAGAAAAGAATAATAAGGTTTTATATGAGGAGATTGTTTATAAGTACAAGTGTACTTACTTAATTTGCTGAGATTTGCAGTACAGTGTACACACTATCACTACAAAGCCGGAGCTAGTTCACTAGGTGTTTCTCGCTTGAGATACTGATATGAACTGACTTGAGATACTGATATGAACTGAATTTGAGATACTGATATGAACTGAAAGATACTGATATGAACTGAGATACTGATATGAACTGAGATACTGATATGAACTGAGTCTTAAAATTGATGCAACGTCCATAGCTGTCCAGAGATGGAATTTAAAGAATTTGAGCCGCGGTTTAAATCCGCCAAAATCCGCCAAAACCCGGTTTAAATTTAGCGCCGGCTTAAATCTTGAAACATTTGATACAATTTTAAGTGGAACCAACCATATTTAAACCGCTGCACTGCTTAAATTTAAACCGCCGCTCAAATTCTTTAAATTCGGCCACAGATCTATGTGATGGGATAAGGATCAGGGGGTAAAGCAAAGGATAGATTATGTCGTGAAAAGTTAAAACATGTTTTTACGCTCTTTCACAAATTATGTACAAAAAAATGTTCTAACCTAATTTTTCTAAGAAAAGAGAAAAGGGTCACTAAAAAATATTGAAATTTCTTTAATAAGTTGGATAAAACTAAGTACAATATGGAGAAATTTTTCAAATTAAATCTTTTAAATTGTCAAATGAATATTTGTAAGTTTTTGAAAGTAACATTTCTTATATTATCATACATTGCTGACAACATTTTTACATTGTAATCTTGCATTAGTTTTTGGTATTATTAAAATATTATTTATTTCTGTAATTTGATGTATAAATATTGATATTTTTTCCGATCCTAAAAATAAATATTTTAATTATTGTTAATTTAGAATTGATTACTTTACTCTCAATCTTAGTCTATATTTAAACACTTTTTGAGATGTTTTAGAAATTTTTTCAACCTAATCGTAAAGGCGGTTATAAAGTCGAAAAAGAACTATGCGCCCTACCTCCCTCGGAAGAAGACCTCAGGTGAAACTTTGAGGATGCCAAAAAAAATTGGCAAATATTTTTCACAACTTTAATGTTGAAAAAGTAAATTTTAAAGCTTCTTAGAAAAAACCACAGTAGGGAGGGAAAACACCCCCCCCCCCCCCGACCGTGATAGGGTTAAATATATAAATTGTAGGACAGTAGCTTAATTTTCCTAAAAGACTAATTAGGATATACAAACTCCAAAATTTGTTTTCCTGTAAAGCTCGGGGCTCCCTAGCATATTTACGGCGCTCGTCCCCCTTCCACCTAGGCCCATCCTATCTTTAAACGGTCTAGCCTAACCTAACCTAACTAAACCTAACCTAACCTAGAATATAAGAAGAAAATAACTTTTAGCAATTTGCATTTCAAGAGATAATCTTTTCCGGAGTTTTTATATTTCCGGAACTACTGTCTGATTGTTTGTTGGTGCAAAAATAATTTAACATTTTCAATCATATTATTCGTTCAACAAATCTTCGTTTTTATATAAACCGAACAATTAAAACTAATCAAGGCTTAGTATAAAGCTTTCGAAAAAGAAAAAAAAAACTACGAACCAAAGTTTTGAAGTAAAAACGATCTTTTTTGTCAAATATGTGGCTTCTAATGTTGTGGTTAAAATCACAGTTTATGAATGTTGTCTTGAATATGTAAATTGTTGTAAATTTGTAGTAAATGCCTTACTCCTGGAACCGCTTTAAGGTTCGTATCAATCCAGGTACAACTCAATAACTCTCGTAAGTCTACGAGGCATAATAACTAATCAGTTCAACCGTACTTTACTATCAATATCAATCCGGACACGACTTTTTCTGTATTCTTTGTTAAATGATCTTACCAGATACTCAATTCTTCTCGCTATGGTCTGCCAAGATATATTTACACTGACACCAGAAAACAAACGGAGATGGTATCATTACAACATACGTTTATTTAGATTTCTATGTTACAGATGAAGTTGATGATTAATGTAATTACTTTTTCTACGTCATGTATATTAACATATTTAAGCTAATCACAATACAGATTCGACGTAACAAGACGTAGCTAGGTTAGAATTATCGCGACACAAGTTTTGCGTAGCTATTAATAAGTGCATTTTGGTTGGTGAATATAACAAATTTACCTACTTAGAATTGGCCTTTATTATTTTCTAATGAAAAACAAAAACCTATCTGTTTTCTTACTTTTTGTATACGATCGTTTTCTCAAAGTTTGTTGAAACCATTAAACCCAATAGGTAGGGATGGATCCTTTTCCATTTTTTAAACCACGATCGTTTTATTTTAAAAACGACAGAACGATAAACTAATTGTCTTTTTTTTAATTATATTTCAGAAAAAGTCGTTTCGTTAACGATCGTCGATTTTTTGGACGATTGTACACAATTGTTAACAAAGACCCTTCTTTAACGATCGTTAACGACCTTTTTAGGACAAAATACCTGTTTTGGTCGGAAAATCCTTTAATCAGAAATTCCTCGGTCAGAAAACATATAGATTATTTCACTGAATAAAAACATTTAAGACAATATTCTTGAATATTTCTTCCTGAAATAAATTAAAATTAATTGTCATAAAACCCCGATTCGTTAGCGATTTTTTTTTCAAAAGGGTCGTTTTAAAAACTATCGTTTTTCGTTTTTTAAAATTTCAAAACGAGTGGTTCGATTTCCAAAACGATATTATTTTTAAAAAGAAACCATTGCTTTTAGAAAAAATAAAAACTGTCGTCTTAAAAAAGATTAACATCCCTACAAACAGGCTTGCCAAAGTTTTTAAAAATATTGCCAAACAAGGATATCGATTTAAGAACTAGAAATCTACCTATGACAATAAAAACGCGGCCAGGCATCGTCTTCCACACTATGACAATAAAAAAAATCTGCGAAGTCTATTGTTGGTATGTTTACTTATATATTAATAAGAGGAAAAAAGAAAACAATTTAATTCTATTCTTTCCTTTATTTTTGTTGGGTTTACTGAGGTAACCATTTCTATATTCAGAATCTGAAGATATATTTCAGATATATTTATATATTTAGATTCAGAATATTTTAGCTAGAAACATACATCAGATATATTTAGATATTCAGATTCAAAATATTTCAGCTAGATTTATACATCAGATATATTTAGATATTCAGATTCAAAATATTTCAGCTAGAAATATACATCAGATATATTTTAATATTTAGATTCAGAATATTTCAGCTAGAAATATACATCAGATATATTTATTTATATATTTACATAGATTCAAAATATACAAGCATAAAGAATACATCAGAGATATTCATGTATTCAGGTTCCTTGGTACAGTTGACTTTTTGCAGAGACAAAAAAGAAAGTTGTCAGAATTTAACACTTTTTAAGATGTTAAGACTACAATGACTTCCTTATTGTTATTCAAAGGACTTCAGAGACTCTAGGGACTCCAGGGACTCAAGGGACTCCAGGGTACCGTTGTCAAACAGAATTGCAACTTTTAAATTGTATGAGAAAAGATTTGAGTCTTTGACACAAACTCAAATTTTCGAACTTCTGTATCAGTGCAACCTGATGGCAAACACCTTTGATATTTAAAACTTGGACTTTTTAATCTAACATAATCCATAGTTTGAGGTCTAAGGTCTACGACGCTGGGTTTCAAATATTTGGGGATTAGAAAATCAGAGTTTGTGCAAAAGACTCAATTCCATTTAGTTTCTTCTTTAGTTAACTTAAAGTTAGACTGAATCATCTGAAAAAGAAATATAAAAACAGCAATATCTATATTTCCATATCATAAAATCTATTGGAAAGAAAAGTCTATAATATCTAAACTTCTCTATCTATTATTTATACAAATTTTCATATCTAAATACATTATACAGAGTGTCAAAAAGAAAACCATTGAATAATACCTGTTTTGACTTTTTTAATTGTGACATTGTAAAATATCTGCTTAGAATTTTTGCTTCAATGTGTCCATTTCTAGGCTGCTCATAAAGTTGCCGACTTCTGCAAGTAAAGGAATTGAGTCATTGCCAGAAACTCAAAGTGAAATGTTCTAATCCCCTATATCTTCGCAACCTAATAGTGTAAACCTTTGATATTTCAAAGTTAGACTATTTGATTTAACAGGATTCATAATTTGTTATATTTAAGGTTTATGACATTGGGTTCCACAATATAGGGATTAGAAAATCAGAGTTTGTTTCAAAAACTCAATTCCTTTGGTAAAAGTAGACTTTTTCTGTTTGCAAGACATCTGTAGCATCTAGACCCGGCCTTAATCTAACATATATCATTATATGTAAATACAAATTGTATTAAAACTTTTTGATTATTTTACAAAAGTATAAGAACATGTTTTCCCGCCTGTCTAAGTGTCCAAGTAAGATTGTCCCCTGGGTTTATGAAAAAATAATTATATTTATTGTTTAATGGCAATATTTTTATTATTTAAAGGGATATACAACGTAACTTCTAGTGAATATCAAATTAAAGAATTAAACACTCATTTTACAACGGTTCTCTACAAACATTAATCTAAGTAGCAATAGCAAATTTTGAACTTTTAAGTAAACCAACTCGAATGTTCTCAAAAATTTTATTCAAACGACATGTTTCGAAATGTTTTATGGGTACCGTTGTAAATCGAGCATCTGGATCACACCCACTCCTGTATGCCGAGCCCAATAGCGCCCGATCCAATCAGGGTTCAGTCATGTGTTTGATGTCTATTCTGAACCAATAGAAATGGCGGTAACATCTATCTTTCTATCTAGCTCATTATCCAATTACAGATATGAATCCTTTAATCGGCGCTATCAGTGAATGGAAATATTTACTTCTGCTGAAACTATGGTGCACCACTTAAAATAGAGGACCACCTGAAATTAGTATTTTGATTACAATCAAAATTTTGTTTAAATGAATTGATACTTGATAGATTTTTGTATCATTCGTATTTGTATGATAAGTTTTTTAGTTAGTATAATTTTAAGGTTTCATTTTTTTTGTCCTTTTGTATTCGTCTATTTTCTGGTTGTTTTTGTGCATGATTATGTTGCCCTATTATTTTACGCTGGTGTGGGCTATTAACAGATTTCTATTCTAAGGCGGGTAGAAAACATTTCCTTAACATTAAGTTCACAGCAGGGGGTATACAATACACACATATATATATATATATTTACTTACAGAGGGGTATCTATATAGATAAAGTAGTGCTATGTTTTTCTGTTTATTTGTCCGACCATAATTCACAGATAAACCCCTTGACCATATTGGCCTCAAATTCTGATTAAGGAACTCGGTAGAACCACAGTAATATTCTGATAGCTTGGATTGAAACTTTTAAATTGATGTTTGATGGGAAATTCAAGTCAAAACTGAGTTCCCAATCTATATATAATTCTAGTTAAAATAGATGGGAAATAAATGTTACAAGGTTATTTTAACGCTTCGCATCTCTTATAGATTTCTTATTCTTTGGCGTACAACCTATTAGGCTATTACCCTAGTATATATTCATTAAATTAAGATTTTTGAAGATTTTCTGTTTTTCTTTTGGTGGATTTCAAAATATTTGTAATGATTAAATTTTTCACAGTTTTTGCCTTTCATGAAACGTTTCCTGGTCGCGGGTCATGCGAGATACTGTAACCAAATGTGGAACTAACATCAGATATGCAGATATTAGATACCAACATAGATACACATAAAGATATATAGATGCATACTTTTTTTACCCTACAGGGGTTTGGTCCATCACCATCACCAAATTTTAAATGAGAATAGAATATATATTAGAGTGGAATTTAGACAATCCCTCGCTGCGAATTTTCTCAGTCCCTTTCAGCCTGAAAGGGAGTTCAAAGTATAGAATTCATGTAAATGTTCACAAATTATATGCAGTAGAGTACATTAATACAGTATGTATACTTGGACTTTCCATTTCAATTTCGAATTTTTTAAAGCTGCTAAATAAACTTTATAAAGTTTCACCATGTTTTTATATCTTGAATATTTCTAAAATATTGGGTATCCCAATAGAGAATAGAATATATAGAGAGGAATTTACTAGAAAAAAATGTAAAACAGCCATTTTGTTGTACTGTTTCCATACTGCAGGTGTACTTCACATATTTATGCTATATAACCTTTTGGGCCCTGGAATATCATTTTATAGAAAATCTAAAATTATTGTTAAAAGANGGTACAGGTACAGGTACAGGTACAGGTACAGTTACAGGTACAGGTACAGGTACAGGTACAGGTACAGGTACAGGTAAAGGTGTACAGGTACATGCGCAATAACTTTAATTTAAAACTTTTCGATCTTTGGATGTTTCACACAGGTTTCACCAAAATCTGAGAAGTTTAAGTTTAATTTTAACCCGGACAAAATACATAGACAAACGCGAACCAAAACCATTATTGTTTATTTTGGCTTAGTATCAAGATATTTGAATAGTTTGATAACAGCAAACTCTTACAGAATACAGTTTTGAAATTTCGAAAGCTTCATAGATTTAATACCAAATTAGATTTAAAACAAACCAAGCTATTGTCAATTCCCTAGCTGTACAGCTTAACAATTACGAAGAGTCCATGGATGATGTAATGAAAGGGCCTTGTTGTTAAAAGTTGGCAAGTGTTCAAATCTGCCTCAAATCTTAAATATCCCTCTAACCTACATCCTTCCTCCCTTCACTTTACACTTACAGCTCTATCAAGCACTATAGCATAAGCCACAAAACAATAAAATTTTTCATCTCAAGTTCGCTAAAAAAATACAAAAATTGCACAGTATCATCAAACACGCTGAAGTATTAGTTTTTAAAAACTATTTTTAGAAATATCCATTTTGGAACTTACCGGAGCGCTCTTTGTTTACCCATAGAATGAATAAACTCTATTTTTATTGAGTTTATACTATTAAAAAAATATATATAAAATAAAACCCATTTATTTGAAACTCCGTCTCAAACTCTCTTATACAAAAAAAAAACTTCTTATTTCTGAAGTAGCAGAGTAAATAAAAATCATCCAAATATTGGCGGACAATGACCTCTTGCGTTAAAATGATTAATCTGCACAGTACTCCAAAGGTTGCAAGCTCTAACGCAAAAGCGATGAGAATTTTGACAATGTCTTCTTTAAACCTAAACATAAAAACAAGATCTTTCTTGTTCTGTAACGTTTTAAAAGTTTTTGCTTCTCCCTGCTACAAATGTGCGGTAAAAGTAACAGCAATATTCTTTTGTTTTGCTTGTGCATGCGTCTCTGCTTTGTATGAAAAATTCCCACAGATTGCTAAGATAGAGAAAGTTGAATGAATTATGATAATAAAACAGTTCAATAATATCATAATGGGACCAAATAAACATACATTTTTCACTTTTTTTTATACATACTTTCTTGTAAAAAGTTTGTTATGTTGAGATTGAAGCAATGGAAAATGTTTACAAATATATAAAAAGACGAATTAATAGATTTTGGGATAAAAATACAAAGTTGCTGTTATAGTATTCCGGAGACCGAATATAGTGAATTTGAGAGGTAGCTGAATTACATACAGCCGGATTAATCCTGAATCACCATTTTACTATCTCTCCTTCTTGTCCTTAATGTCCTCATGAATATATCTTTAACTTTGAATTGGTACTTCAGGATTTGAACCGGCGGTAGGTAGATCCGTGAGTTGTTGTTGAATAATCAATTGATGTTGTTTTACTTATTGGAGCAGGAGTTTCTACGTAGATCAACAACTGCTTGCTACTCATAAAATCCAGTCCCAGAATAAAACATCAATAAGTTATCAATCTAAGTCAAGGATTATTTTTTATTTTAGAAATAACATAAACATTTTTTCCAGATTGTCGAGCTTGAGTTTCATAATGGAGGACGAGGAACTACTGACCCAGGAGGAGATGGAGGCTATCGGTCTCGAGCCCGATCAGGTTCTTGTACTCAAGAGATGCTTTGACGGTTTCGCAGATGAGGAAGGAGCGATTCCAGCTGATAATGTGGGAGGCATTCTCGCTATGATGGGAATGAAGGTAAGCAAAACCGGTTATATATATTTGGCGCCATTTCTTATTCAACAGCTGATTCAACCGCCATATTGAAAAATGCTAATTTTTTTTATTAAGGTAAAGCCCAGTGCTCTGAGGGAGATTATTGAAGATATTGATGAGGATGGTAGCGGTCTACTGGAGTTTGGAGAGTTTTGTCAGCTAGCCGCTAAGTTTCTAGTGGAGGAGGATGAGGAAGCTTTGAAGAAGGAACTTAAGGAGGCCTTTAGGTTAGTTCAGTTCAAAAGCACTCACACTCAACCAAAATGTTTACAATCTCACTAAAAAACAAGATTTTGCCAATTACTGTTAACAAACACACATTGTTCAGATAAATCCTGCACGTTTTGGTCAACAAAACAATATAATTGAGTTATTAAGATAAAACCAAAGGCCGATTTGTGATATCTCAAAGTCGAACCGGTTTGAAATTAGATTATATTTTTATATTTATATTTATATTTTTTCACTTTTAAGGATTTATGACAAGGAGTGCATGGGATACATCTCCACGGACACCCTTCGTGAGATCCTCAGAGAGTTGGACAACAAGCTAACTGAGGACGACCTCAGTAACATCATAGAGGAGGTCGATGAGGACGGATCTGGAACTCTTGACTTCGACGAGTTCATGGAGATGATGGCTGGATAATTTTAAATAATCTCTTTAGATAACAGACGAAAAGAACCAACAATTTTAAAACAGCAACTATCATAATTAGTAATGTTTCCATATTTATTTCACAAAATCCGTCCTGTACACCTTTCAATCTGTACCCTTTAACCTGTACCCTGTACATATCAGATTTTATTGAACAAATATAATTTGCACCTAACATTTTATAAGAGGATTAAAAAAATCGATAAGTGAAATAGTGATTGGAACTTTTTGTGGATGTAGTTTAGTTTGAACGTTTGATCTCAATATTCAATGTGGTAAGTTTTGAATTTTAGGATCAATGCTTGATCCTAAATTAAATTTGTCCCTGAAGGGTACAATGCTTGATCACGAGATTCCCACCAACTAGTTTCTGACTTGAGATATTTCATATTTGGCAGTACAGTGCAGTGTAGTACTGTACAGAGTCATCATGAAAAGTGATGTTTAATTAAAACAAAATATCCTACTATACCATGACAGGATAAATCTTGAAACCTTGAAATTATGTCTATTTTCCATAATTTATTGTTATGTAAAACTAAAATTTTCATTTTTGCTTTTGAAATCTATAATTGTACTTTGCTTGCCTGGGTGTGGGTGTTTGTTTGTTTGAATTCAAAAGATTTTAAAACAGATATACCTATCGAGCTTAATTTTTTTGAGGCAACTCACATGTACCCAGGAAAAGTTTTTGTCATGAGAAAGTTGAACAATTTTGACCGGAAACAGTGTCGAAATTTAGTATTTTGAAAATGCACCAATTTAAACAGAAAAATTTGAGAAGTATTAAAAATAGCGACTTTCAGAGTTCTTCTTCTATGGCTTAAGAAGGTAAGGGGGCGCGACGCGCTCTATAAGTCTGAAACGTTATATTTTCCTAAAAAGTATTCCAAACCTGAATACAAAGATAAAATATTATAAATGCTTTAAAACCAATAAACTTGAAGGAGCGAATATATTTGAATCTTTCTTCTTTCATCTCTGAATATTATGAAATATCCCGCAGTTGTCAGAAATATTAAAATATTTCTCAGGAACAAATATGTTTATATATTTTTCAACAATTTTTGTTTTGGAGTGTTTTAGATTGATTTTTTTTGCAATTTGGTAAAACAAATTGTTTTTAAAAGGGTTTCGGTTTTAAACCTTTTAAACCTTCTTTACGGGACTGAAAAACCACTGCAAGAAAGGAAATGAGTCTTTGCTTCAAAATCAGATTTTCTAATCCTTATATTTCTACAAGCTGACGGTGTTAACCTTTGTTATTTTAAACTTAGATTATTTGATCAACCAGCATTCATAATTAAAAATATCTAGGTTCTTCGAGACTATGACGTTAGATTGCAAAGACTTATGGGTTTTGTTTTGACCTCTGTAGCTTTTAAGTTTAGGTTTAGGGATGTTTCAAAACAATTGCACAAGTCATTTTTAAAAATGTTGAAATGTGACAAAAAAGTTATAGTGGATCCGGCCAGGCTTCTGGGCTTTTAAATTCTGCAGTATTATATCCGTAGCTTTTTCTTTAATTATTGACTTTTACAGATTTTTTGACGGACAGTTTTCACACACTCTAGTACCCTACCCTCTACTGTGAATAATTATAGTATTTTGTACTTGTATTTTCATGGTGCACATTTGTTCAGCAAGAGCGCAAATTCAAAATTGAAATTTTCTAAAAACTGCAAATGCATTAAAGGGAGTGACCGGCAATGTATGGTAGATTTACTATGATTGCAGTATTATTGTGAAATTTTTTAGGATTCAATTGAAACCTATCAGACGTTTTCATGCTGCACATTTGTTCAGCAAGAGCGCAAATTCAAAATTGAAATTTTCTAAAAACTGCAAATGCATTAAAGGGACTGACCGGCAATGTATGGTAGATGAACTAAGATTGCAGTATTATTGTGAATTTTTTAGGATTCAATTGAAACCTATCAGACGTTTTCATGGTGCACATTTGTTCAGCAAGAGCGCAAATTCAACATTTTTTTTAAGGAATGATTATTTTAAAACGACGAAGAAAAATGTAACAAAATTTCTAACGTAAACTTACTAGATGTTTAGGAACATATTTCTCTTATGAAATGTGTTGATAAATCAATTTTAGAATCAATTGTTTCTTTTTCATCATGATATTGATTTTCTTAGCTTTATGAATTTGTTCGCAGATTTCTTGAAATTCTTCAAATGTCGTCTTTTCATTAAAAATTCTACAGAAAACGCTTTTGAATATTGAGCCATTACAGAAACCAATAACTACATAAGATTACTTATTTTCGATGTTCTTAATAGTTACCTAATAGTTATTTTCTCATTCTGTTCCTAAACAACTAATTAAAGTTTACTGTAGAATTTGTTGTTACATTTTTAGTGGTCGTCACTTAATAATTTAAACAAAACCGATTCTCAAAATCATCCCTCTAAAATGAACAATCAATGAGGATTTTAAATATTGCATTTGCGCTCTTGCTGAACAAATATGAACCATAAAAATGACTGATAGGTCTCAAATGCTAAAAAATGCTTAATGATACTGCAATCTCAGTTCAACTATCATACAATGCAGGTCACTCCCTTTTAAACGCTGGTTTTTAGTTTTTTCATGAAGTTTTTTTTCAGTAAATATGAATTTGATCCAACTCAGTTTGAGATATAGGATAATGAGTCTGTTATATTTTCTATCTTTACATCCTTTCATACCTGCATACCTGCGCAGGAAATATAAGTCTTTTATATTATTTTTGTAAATGTACAATTAGGTGTTTTATTTATTTATCTTTAGTTGAAAATTATCTTGAAAAATCTGAGCTTAATAAACAAACTTTACTTTCAAACTTTTCTTTAATTCTCACACAACAAGAAAGGTTATTAGATACAATACAAATTCTATTTTTACTTTCCAAGGGATAAAAAGCTTTTCATCTTTAAATATTATTTTCTGTGAAATATAACTAAGAGTTATTAGATATATTTAAATATTTTAGCTCTTTTTTTGCTTTTAAAATCTTTCCCTTTTTTTGATCTATTAAAAATATTTTTTGAGACTAAAATCAGATCAAAATCTGCCAATCTCGTATTCCTATAGGTTTAATGTTTATTAATAATTTTTAAGCTAAATGTTCCGTTGTGTGTAATTGCGTTAAACTAAATATAATGTTTGCATTGTTTTTGTAATCTAATTCTTGTGAACAATCTACCCCATGCTGCGGCTAGAACAATATAATGTTTATATGAGTATACATGATGAAACCACAGGAGCGAGGGAGGGGGGGGGGGGCATTCTTTTAATGGGGTTACAATTCCACCCAACAGCAAAGATGCATTCTTTAAAAGTAACATATCCGGAACAACCTGGACATATTCCAGAATTATTTAGTGACAAGGAAATATTCAATTTTCGTAAATAGATTTCCGTAAGTAGATTTCCGTAATTAGATTTCCGTAAGTAGATTTCCGTAAGTAGATGTCCGTAATTAGATTTCCGTAAGTAGATTTCCGTAAATAGATTTCCGTAAGTAGATTTCCGTAAATAGATTTCCGTAAATAAATTATAATTCCTTTTGGTAAAATAAATTGGGGTTTCCACAATTTTATTCGAAATTGCAAGAAAAATAGGTTATTGATTATTTCCCAAAACTTGCTAGCAAACTCTGAGTACAAGTCTCAGAATAAGGCATTATTATGTAAATGGTATAAAATGCAGCTTTATTCACATCATTTCCTTCATTTTATATAAATATTTTATGTTAATGATCTTTTGGTTAGCTCAATAAAAAACTATTAATTCTAAGAGAAAAAAGATTTAAAAAACCATATTGCATATTTTGTAGATATTTTTAAGACAAAGATTTTTTTCAATATAATTTCAATAAGATAATTGACCTTTCTTACTGTTTACATGTTCTCTTTAATAGATATTTTTCTTAGGATATAAATTGCATTGTTTTTTCCTGTCACTAGTTATCAAGGGCGATTAGCGCCCCTCTTGTAGAACCAGTTTTAAAGTTTAATATTTCTTTTTTCTTAAAACTCAAATATTTGCGGATTTTTCTGATATGATTGATGTATCTCTTAAATTTTTTTCAGACAAAATTTTTAAATGTCGTTCAGTCATAAACCTTTCCTGCATGGGGTAAAGTGATTAGCCACAACAAATTTTGGTTCGTTGGGTTCAGCCGTTTTTGGATATAAACAGACAGCCAAAAACGCAAAGCAAAAATAAATATTCTTTTTAATGATATTAAAAAAATTCTAAAAGGTGTATTTCCAGAAAATTTGATGCTCTAAGCTCTATATTTTCTTTGATCTAAACCAATGCTGAAACAATCCCAGGTGTAATGTTTGTTTTAAAGAAAAAAATCAACATTTTCAAAATACTCATAAGAATTAATTTTTTTCAGAGGGACTTTAGTTATTGTACCAATTAGATGAACACAACCTTTAAACCTTTAAACCTTTAAACCTTTAAACCTTTAAACCTTCAAATCTTTGAACCTTTAAACCTTTAAACCTTTATCTAGTCATTATTTGGAAAGATGTTGTCGATTTTATGGCTTAAAAATGTCTTACTTCTGACAATTTCTTTTTTTTTCTGTAGCAGTAGTAATCCGCAAGTCATTTTTATCAAGACACCACATATGGAAATAATCAATCAAGTTAAAAAAGATGGATATCACATTCATTGTTGATAATTCAAGAGTTTTCATGATACCTATATAAATTGACATGCCATTATAAAGGAGGGCCCCTTGAATTACGTTTATCCCTTTTAATTCTTAAAGGATGTTTAGACGCTGGGCCAATTTTTCAGATCTGCAAAGCAATTGTTCACAATCTATAAGTGATTAAAACTAATCAATTTTTACCACTATATTCTTATTCCTTATTATCTTGCAGAACATCTTTTATTTAGTTTTTTTTAATCAAAACTTATCCTTTCAGCTGAAATTTGAAGATATCTATCAATAACTTATATAAAAAATTGTTTTCAGTTTATTATCAAATTAAATTTTTTTTCTTGTTTTCTAACAAACTACAAATAACACTTAAAAACAACTTTTTAAGCTTGACAATAACTGTATTTATTTGTATTGATCATAAATCTAATCATACAAGGGGGTGGGGGGGAAGTCCCGGGTCCCCCGGTTGCCTCCCTCTTAGTCACAAGCTCACAGAGTCA